GGGGGGGGGGGGGAATATATGAAGATCTGACCTCTACCCGGAAGAGTAGAGTGGTTGTTTCTATAAAGATCCTTGGCTAGTGAAAAGTGTGTGAAAGGGAGAACTACAACTATGCTAAAATTTGAAAAGCTAGATATGAGTAAAATAATGGCAATACAAATAGATAGAGAGACAAATATGCTAAAATTTAATGAACGTCCCAAAAAAAAGATGAGTACGTAGCCATACAGATAAAAAAAACAAATTTTTAAGTAACTGAAGCTTGTCCTCAGAACTAAAAGAAAATCACAAAAAATTTATAACAGGGTTCACACTACCATAGAGTTTGGCGACTAAATTGCGAGAATTTAAATGAATTCTCCATAAACCCTAAACCCTAAACCCTAAACCTTAAACTCTAAAAGAAATAAACTGAAGGTCCTCCTTAGAACAAGTAATCATGCTTATTCGGCTTTTAAATAGTTTAAGTTAACAAACGCACCTGTTGATCATGGCTACCATTCCACATCTGATTGGACATCACAGCAATCTGCTGCTGCTTATTCTGACTAAAATCTTGTGGCATCTGTTGTTGCATCTGCTGGTATTGTTGCATCCACATATATTCTTGCATTTGTTGTTGTTGCTGCAATAACTGCTGATGCCCTTGCTCCTGTTGCTGCTGGTACACCTGATACATATACTGTTGGTACTGATCCTGCTGTTGATACACCTGATATTGCTGTGGCTGAAACTGTTGCTGCTGCATTAAATAAGATTGTTGCATTTGCAGCCATTGTTGCTGATTCTGCTGCTGTTGGTATTGATATTGATATTGCCACATTTGATTATAAGCGTGTGCATTCTGAACAAGTCCAGATTGTTCAGTATTTTGCACAGGATACTGAACCATTGATGCAAGATTAGGATGAGGTTGAACCGGTTGGGGTGCAGATGAAGAGCTCTGTGGCTGTACATTTGCCACAGGCCAGGTGTTGTTCTCTATATTTTCCTTTGTTGGATTTGGATGATCTTGGTTAGCAGTTGATTCATGAATTAACGGAAAACCTTGGTGTGGCTGACGATGATGCTGACGTGGCTGGCCATCAGATTCGGCACTTGCATCTTCAGAGGCTGTAAGCATGTGATTTGTTTTGCAGCAAGTTTCCGGATTTTGTGAAGAATATTGTTGTGGATCTGTTTGTTCACGAAGATTCCGATGGCCTGGTGAAAATGACAAACTTTCTGATCCATGTTCTTCTGTTCCATTTTGTTTCTTGGCAGATTCAGTGGCTGAAAAAGGGTTCCGAGTGGATGTCGAAGGGTTCTCATTATTTACAGAGGGCACGGTATCCTCCAGAACATTAGGTCCTTTTTCCCGAGTTAACAAAGAAAGACTCTCCAAAGAAACTGGTATTAGAAGCATTTCAACTTCATGTTCTTTTTCTGGCTTGTGTCTGATTTGGTCATATTTGTGTGATACCTGTGGCTCATTTGGTCCTAATGTATCTTTCTGGGATTGTATATGGTCGATTGAATCTATATATACAGATTCAATTTCTCCTCGCTTATGTAAAGCAAGAGATGATTCGATCATTTCAGATGCATCATTTCTAGAATGGCGTTTTAAGCTTTTAAATTCTCCAGCTGCATTATCTTCATCATTTCCTCCATGCTGGTTGGCTGTAGCCTCGTGTGGCTTGATAGCTTGATTTTTCGAAATCGACAACTTGTGGTTCTCTTCGGCTGAAACCCGGGGTATATGCTCGATACTATTAACCACAATTGGCTGCTTCGCAACAAGACGAGGGATCCTTTCTCTTACTTCTTCTGGCTCATTCAAAAGCTGATTGGAAGGCGACTTATGTGAAGAGCTACTCCTTATCAGGTGGGGAAAAGATTTTATGTGACGGTTCCATGCCTTTCCTATGTCATGGGTGGTTCCACAGTAGTCAACAAACTGCAACCAGATTATATTGACGGTAATTAGCAGAGGAACAATCTCATTGTTAACCAACAAAGAGTTAAGGTCATTTCAAGAATATATCAAGAAAAAGATATGTTACTATGTCAAATGCAACATAAAATTCTTGAAAAAGAACTTTACAGATAAAGGATTTGACAAATTTGCATTTATTCATCAACTGGAGAAATTGACACAATGGATCTTTTTGCCCTGTAGATCGATGAAAACATTATTTCTAGTTTCTACTACTTAATTTAGAAATAGTAATCAGTTCTCTCTCGTTCATCTATCACGAAGTGTTCTCAACATATTTGAATCAAAAGATGCAACAACATTGTCTGAAATGAATGGTAATGAAACCAGAATTTCAAAAAGAATGAAAAAAGATTGTTAGATGGTTCATTTCATGATTTTGGTGTTGAACTTCCCATTACATCATTGCCTACAGTTTTTTGCATTTTATGCAATTGTTCACATAAATAATCATAACTTCACAAAAGTTGGGTGGTATGCTAGAGATACCCTGAGTTTAGTATCTTAACATAAATCATAAGTATAATAGATGGTAAAGCGAGGAATTGGTCATACAAGTTGCATGAGTGATGCTACACATCAGGCGAGGAACACAGGCCTTATAACCTGGGGCCGAAACTAATCTTTCATACAAATGTGTCACATAAACATGTCTAATTTGGTTCATTGTAATAGTTATATATTTCAAAAAGCACAAAAAAGACGGTAGCAAAAGATGTGGTTCGAACTCTTGAATCCCAGAAATTCAATGGCTATTCCTCTACTATTGGCCTCTGTCAAACAAAAAAGGATGTTTTTTCCACAAATTCTTATGATTTTAATTACGAGTTTTGTTGATTTTATCAATTTATGCTCTCTTTTTCAAATGGTTCTGTTAAAGGGAGTGTTACTCCTGCAAAAAACACCTTCAGAGTCCACCTTTGACTTTTAGTGTCAAAAGAATAACTTTTGAGCTTTAAAATTGATACGAATTATCAACCATATAGCTACAATAAATAGACCTCCATACGGTTTCAGAGCTAAGAGTGGGGAAAATATCAATGTCAACTTTGCATTTCAAGAAGTAAATTGCTAGAAAATTGAGATGAAAACTGTACTCTCGACATGTGACTTGAAGGAGTTCTGAACGCATAGAATCTCATAAGCTTCGATCTCTAATCTAAAGAACTCCTACAATTCACACGTCTAGAGTCCACTTTTCATTTCAAAATTCCAGCAAATTACTTCTTGAAATATGAAATTGACACTGATATATTCCCAAATTCTACCTCTGAAACTTAGATATATAGTATTGTTTTATATGGATAATTGATCTCAATTTTGAAGCTCAAAAGTAACTCGTTGACACTAAAAGTCAAAGGCATCTCAGTTTTGAAGCTCAAAAGTTACTCGTAGACACTAAAAGTCAAAGGTGTCCTCTAACGGGGTTCTAATTGCAGGAGCAACATTCCCTATAACATAATATTATCTGAAAAAGAGATCATAAATCAACAAAACCCATAAATAAAAGCATAAGAAATTGTGGAAAAATACATGCTTTATTGTTTGAGGGAGGCCAACAGTAGAGGATAGCCATTGAATTTCTAGAAACATCTTTGGATACCATCTCTTTTGTGCTTTTAAAATATATCTCCATTACATTGAACCAAATTGGACTCGTTATAAAATATTAATCTGGCCCCTGGGTTATAAGGCCCGTGTTCAGCCACTGAGGGAGACATCCGCCCGCCCCAACTGCCCTTAAAGAGATCCATATGTGGACTAGAATGCAGATAACATGAGAAACTTAAAAGAAATCTAACCATGAGAAGAAAAGACAGGTAAATTAACAGGATATCTCCAGTACCATGAGATATTGTAATTTAGTAATGTGATTTGGAGTAAAAGAACTGACCTTCAAATACAAATGGGACAAATCCTCACGATCTTTGGAGCTTAAACCCTGGGAGCCATCTGATCCACAGGTTATGGCAGTGGCCATAATGGGGTCAACAACATTCAAATGTCTTGATCCTTCGTGCAGCATTGCAAAGTTTATCAATTCCTACAGAAGTCACACAACAATTAGTTCCCTCTCCTGATTTCTCTGACTATTTTTAGTTTCCATCTTAAATATTTGATTTCAAGCAAATGCTCGTATATTAGAAGTTTTCTAAGTATGCATGTAAAGTATGATAGAGTTTTATCTATTTCATACCAAAAATAAGAGTTGAAGTTGTAAACAAATTACATTTGTTACTATATTTAAACCTCACGTAAAAGGCCACTGTGTTTTAAACAAACAAAGACAAAAGTTACCTCTAGGAGTAACCTAGAATGAGGCACTTGCTGAATACCCGCTATTAGTAAGTCGACAGCAGCATCTTCACTGCCAGTGATCTACATACAGGCAAGAGTACACAATTAAAACGATTTGATAATCCAAAACAATATTTAAGCAGAAACTAATTTAACCTTCTTAACTAACTGAATACTTCGTGGGAAACTTTTTACTTGGCAAGGATACAGAAGAACAGTCAAATGAAGATAAGGTTTTTACCGATAGGAGACAGAAGGATCTCACACATGTTCAAAGAAGTTGAACACTTACCTCAAAACATTAAAACAGTGACACAATGAAGTGTTGAAAAAAAATTCAAAACCACGTAATGTGCATGTTCATTAAGTACTTTTCCTTAAGACAGGATTGCAGGATATCTCAGGTAAGACAGGTATATGTTTCTAAAGGCCAGAATTTCATCCATTGATATCAACAAGTACATTTCCTTAACCATAAAGGCACTTCAAGTCAAAGTTGTTAAAGGCGCAAGGCGCACTTAGGCACAAAGGGTACCTGGGGCCTAGGTGCGAGCCTCACGAATGCGAGGCACATCGTATAAAAAGATAATATATATATATATACACACACACACATAGTAATACACAACTCAAATACCATTATATACAAAGTAGTAATATCAACTCAAATACCATTATATAAAACATAGTTCAATTTCAATTCCAAAAGGCAGCCAAAAAAATAATAATATACATACTTGATACTTGTATGTAGAAACAACCAACAGGTAGCAAGTAGCAATAAGAAGTCCAGAAGAGAGCCCTTAGTGAGGAAGAAGTATAAACCTCCAGGGCAGCAACCAGAAATCCAGATTCCAGAAGAGAGCCGTGAGGAAGAAGTATAAGGTTTAAAGTCGTGAGGGAGAGTACAATGTATGGGACGTATGTATGGGACGTATTTATAGGAGATGACTGATTAGAATTGAATACAGAATTGAATAGACTTATTTAACAACTCTTTTTTGTAGAAGTCTAGGAGGTTAAAAGACATAATTAATATTAGGTTTTGACTTATTTAACAACATTTTTTTGTAGAAGTCTAAGAGACAAGAAAATTATTTGAATTTAGGGCATATTTTGCACCTCAGCCAAGGCGCTGCGCCTTGGTGCGCCTCCGTAACGCCTTGACATGGAAAAAGCCCCGTCCTTTGCGCCTTATGCGCCTAGCCTTTTCACAACTATGCTTCAAGTTTATATAGATAAGATTGTATAATTGATTGAGATGTGTGTGAAGTCTGTTTCAGTTTCACATGCCAGCAATCAAATGTAAATCCTTTCCAGTATCTAAAACAAATATGAAGTGTTTTGATAAACTGATGATTAACGGTTTTAATTCTGCTTACTCATGTGACCGATTATGCTCAAATTTATGCATGTGCATACAATGTATGTATGCATCTAGCCATGATATGTACAGAAGGAGAGAATGTTACATGTTGAAGTCATCTTTCGACACTTCTGATTTAAACTTATCACCATGTTCAGCAAAACAAATCTATACTGTTTTACAATTCAGATTCAAGCAAAGTTTGGAAAAAGTACAGTTGAACAATTCCGACGTAGAGTAACATCCAGCAATTGAAGATGATATTTATATCATGATGAAGTATGAAAACATATTAATGATCAAGTCTAAATTGATAAATGCTGTTTGGGGATTCACAATACAAATGATAGTTTAATGCTCACTGGCTGCATTCTAAAGAGCACTAGCTGGAGTTAGCACTTGGCAAATGAATTAAGCGGATTGAACTGTTTAGTTTCATACAAAGATTAAAATTCAATTGGTACAAAAATAGGATTGTATTTTGTTCCAATGATTAAAAAAAAAGGTTGAAACCAGCTGGCATCCCAACCTTACCCAATCAATCCCCCAACACACAAGACCCTCTCTCCTAGTACACGACAATCGTGCATACTTACTGGACCAACTTTAGTCTTTTAGAAAAACACAACCCTTTGCAAGATTACACTTTCTGCTCTCATCATATTCCCACAATCAAGTACTGTCATATTTCTTCCCAGGTCCCATATTTTTTATAACTTATGCCAAAATACAAAGTATATAATTAAATCATGTCCTTTATAAATTGTTGTCGAACTGTATCCCCACCACATCCCATCCTTAAATTCAGTAACAGGATCTTATCCCTGATTCCTGTCATGTTAATAGTGATCACTTAGAAAAGGAGTGTAACAAGCATTCTTCAATTTACATAAGAGGAGAGTTTAGCTTTGACAGCACGATAATGCAAAAGACTAAATATGAATATAACATTAAAGTGTAATGGAGGAAAGAAAAGGATGTGTAAGTCAGCAGATGGCTTTATTCATTGAATTCAATGTGCAGCCAATCAGCCATTGTTATCTTAAATCAGATTTATGCTATTTTCTAAGTATGTCTGAATTATATGGCATAGTTTTGATGGTGTTAGATTTTACAGCCTTTCATAAACAAGAAGCTTGGTTACAGAATCCTATCTTCTTGTTCAGAATTTTATTGAAATGAACAATCGCCATTCCACAGTTCATGATCAATTGTATAGTCCTTACCCCTTAATGCCAAGTCCAGCAAACAGAATATAATCGTCCTTCCGTTGCAATCATATGAAGAGCATACAAAGATAATGTCAGATAATGTCCTTCCATTGCAATCATATATTGCCAAATAGCTGTTATGTGTTACTTCTTTATGTAATCTTTTCTGATCTCTCATCTTACTATATAGTCAATTGAATTGAAATGAATGAAAACTTTTCTATGTTCATTAAAACTGTTTAGTACCAGTTACAGCTAAGTACTGGCAGAATCAGTGAGAACTCCATACCAGGTATTTAAGACGGAAAAGTTGAATATACAGAATAGGGATGATGTGCATCTTCTCCTTGTCTGCTGCCATTTTGAGTGCTTTATCATAAATGTCCAAAGCTGTGTCCAAATTTCCCTGTTTATTATAAAAAGGCGTTTTTAAGCACAAGTTCTTACTACAGTTTCAGATGATACTCATGATTGATTGCATACCAGACGTTTCTCCATATTGGCCTCTCTTATTGCAGTTTCAATGAAAGACGAATCAGATCCGTTCTCACCACGAAGCAATGCAGCACGAGCTCCTTCAATGTCTCCTATTTTCTCTCTAAATCTTGCATTGAAAATATGCACCTCTGACACGTTCTGCATACAACATATAAAAAACGTGAAAAGATCTTGTCACAAAAGCAACCATCAAGTCAACTAAACCAACTACTGGTTAGGACTTACTTCAGGATCCTACAAAGAAAACAATAATCATATTTCTTCTTAAATTAACTTGACAATGCTTTCAACCTTAAATGGTATTTAAAGTAATATATTTAAAGCAGTAAAGTTGCAACATATTTCCTTATGGTGAACACAGAGTGTAGATGTAACTTGATGAGCAGGGTCAGCATCAGCAGAATTCCATAAAGTTACAAATAAGACAAGAATTAAGTGATCTTTCTATATAGTTGATAGCTAATATTTTGGTTCGGTACAATAGTTTAGAAACTTCAGGACTCTAGACATGAGCTTTTAGTAACTGTTATTTCATCAGTTGCTGGCAGTCCTATAATGCCATAAGGAATCAACACCTTGTACAACATAGGAGGCAGGATTTTTATGGAGCATGCACCAAGGCGATGGTGACCCGACTGCCAGTCTCGCTTACACTGTGATTACAGATGCACTTTATGCGTAAGTGAAGACAATATACAAGATTCATGAGTATCTCGCCCTTAGAGTGTTGGTAGACCTGTTTTACACTCATGATGATATATAACCATCTCTTTTACATTTTACTCTTAGAATGAGTGGGACTTAGCTTTTAAGATTATTGTGGTGTGGTTATGAAACCAACAGAAATCAAATGTCGAAATGGTATGCTTGATGCATTACTAAAAAAATATATTAGATCTAAAAATGAAATGTCTCTTAATTTATTTTTGAAGTGTTAACGGGGAAGTAATCCTATCCATATTTCAAATAGCTTCAGATAGCGTAGAGCCATAGACACAAAAACTAAGAACATACATCTCCAGATTTAAGAGAAATAAAAAACACACCTTTAAAAATACTTGTGTCGCCCTTTCTAGAGCAAAATTTGCTATTTCTCGTCCCCCCTTGGATTCGATAAACTCCACATAGCGCATCCAGAATTCAGGGTAATTAGCACAGGGAATTAAGCATCTTTCGTACAGTTTCACAGCCTGTAAGTAGATATTGGCTTTAAATACTTCAGCTTATGTAAGAAGTCATGTATCCACCTTTCATAGTATTCAAGCATACCCAGTCAAAGTCCTCTTGCTTCTCAATGAAATCCAGATAATTATGCCAATTTTCTAGCTCCTCGTCCTCAAGTGGTTTTACATGAAAAAAGTCCCTCTCCATATAGTTCTCGAAGTAATCTATTTTTTCGTGCAATTGGCATGCTTTGCTATAGAACCTTTCACCAATGGTGATAAATTTATATAGAGCTTTAGACCTCAGCTCAATACTGGAGGAATTTTGTAGTTCCTTGATGGCAATGATTTCATCATCGGATCTGGCAACTTCTACATTTGAATCAGCTGCATGGGGCTCAAGGTTGCAACTTTTTGGGCATGACATATCCTCTTCTACAAAAGCAGCAAACTCTCTAAAACTGAAAGATACAAACGAAAACAAGTTTAGAGTCATGTCGAAACATATTCAGATGAAATAACTGTGAAGTCACAAAAACTTCAGGATTTTCTTCTTGAAATCGAATGTAGTTTACAGCCTGATATTTAAAGAAGAGGGTCCGATATTCAAGCTCTCTTAATCTGCAACTAAATCCTCAACCATGGAACTCCACTCAGGATGTGCCCTATAGGAGCGCAAGCCACAAAACAAGAAACCACCAGCACACCTTCCTATCTTATACAAATGTGAAATAAAGCTCCAATATTTATTTACAAGGAAACTAGCATATTTCCACATGTGTCAACAACACAAGTAGATAGTAAAGTCGAAAGTTACATGATACAAGTGAAGATTTTCCATGTCTATGTCTATATGCACTGTAACACAAGTTGTCAAGCTAATTAGTGAGCAATTTCTATACCCTCTGCAAACGTGGAAGGTATGAATGAGTAACTAGTTCAAGCATTAGGGACAGGACACCTTATGGTCCCACAAATTTACATGTGCAAGTGATTCCATAGAAAAATCCTTTAGATGAAATACTGATAGACCCCTGACTATCGGACAATATCAAAAGACAAGGGTAAACAATAATAAAAGCGATGATGACTGAATTGTATTACTCCTATAGAAAATATTCGTAAGTAGACACCCGGGTATTCAAGAGACCTGGTTTTCTCCCTAGCACAAGCTCAATATAAAAGTGATGCCCTTCACAACTACCTGCAGCATCATTATATAATATCTAGACCTCTTACTTAAAATAAAAGATATCAAATATTCTAATTCATTGGCAATAACCAATTAGACAAAACTGGACAACCTTACTTATCTGAAATAAAAGACATTAAAACATTCTAATTAACAGCTTGCGCAAGACTGGACAGCCCTAAACAACCCTCTTATTTCGCCTAAAATATGCATAACTAACTGGGGGTCTATCATTACCCTTCCTTCGAAACTACTTGGGAAAAGTTTGATGCGATCCGAAGTTGGTTACATGAATTTCACCTTGAGGACAGATCCTTCCATGCAATCAGACCTTCCAACTCTTGGGCATTGTGCAACCTTCCATGCCTTACATCAAGACCTGCAGCCAGCTCAACCATGAGATCTGAATCGGTCGTCAGTTGTGGCGGAAGAGTGGGAGAAGAACGAGTCTTGCCCTAGGTCTGCCTCAATTCTGAAACATGAAAGACCAGGTGCACCAAGGTTGAAGGAGGCAAACTCAGCTTGTACGCCACTGCACCTATGCGTTAGGATACCTCGAATGGAACATAATAACGAGTAGCTAACTTCTCATTCGGCATAATGGCAGTGACCGTTGTCGGTATGGTCGGAATTTGACGAACACTTTATCACCAATTTGATATTTCATATCTTGCGCTTCTTATCCGCCGAGTGTTTCATCTTATGTTGTGCACGAAGGGGATTCATCTTTAAGTCGTGAAGGAACACAACCCGTTCCTCTAGCAAAGTCTCCACATCTCGCACAGGAATCGTTCCCATTGTGTAGTGAATCAACGCAGGCGGGTCTCGCTCGCCATACAGAACCTTGAACATAGTGCAACCCATGGATGTGTGAAAGCTCGTATTGTACCAATACTCATCCCATGAAATCTACTTTTGCCCAATTCCTATGCTGACTTGAAGCAAAGCACCTGAAATCCAAGCAGCAATTAACCACCTCAGATTGCCATCAGTCTGCAGGTGGTAGGTTGTGCTCTAGCGAAGATTTGTCCCTGTAACTGAAAGTAATTCTGCCCAAAAGTGGCTTAGAAACAGGTCACAATCAGACACAATGGTACGCGGCACACCATGCAACTTAATAATGTGATCTAAAAATGCCTCCACCACTGTTTTAGCAGAGAAAAGGTGTTTGAAAGTGATGAAGTGGTTGTGTTTATTCAAACAGTCGACTACAACCAGGATTGTTTCCGCTTTTGTTTCGGCAATCCTTCGATAAAATCCATAGTTAAATCATCCCATACATAATTAGGTAAGGCAAGTGGTTGCAAGAGGCCTGCTCGTGACATGGACAAGTGTTTGTTGTGCAGGTAAGTATTAAGACAAAACGAGACAGAAAAGGATTTCAAGCTATGATTTCATTCACAGAGACATACAGAATTTATATTACAAAAATAACAAGGAAACCAGCAAAAAACAAGAAAATTACATATCTACTTTCTAAATAAAAAACATCCCTTCCAAAACAGTTGGAAGATTATTGATACGGTTTCCTTTCTTAAAACCTTCCTTCTTTCCAACACTCCCCCTCAAGTTGGCGAATGTATATCCCACATTCCCAACTTTGACACATTATGTTTGAAGTCTGATTTCATCAATGCTTTAGTGAACATATCTGCTTCCTACTGTTTTGCTGGAACGAAGTTAAGACTAATGGTGCCATTTTCTACCTCACTCTTGATGATGTTTCTATCCATCCGGACATGCTTCATTTTGTCGAGTTGAATAAGGTTATGGAATATAGCAATTGCATACTCGCGATCACTGTTTAGCTTGACTGGTCCACTTATACTTGTGTTGAGCTCTTCTAGCAGCCACTAAATCCAGATCAGTTCACATACTCCCTGAGCTATGGCTAGTACAGCTTCAGCACTGCTTCTAGCCACTACCGTTTGTTTCTTGCTCCTCCAAATAACTACGTTCCCCCATAAGTAACCTGTTGTTGATTTAGCATCGATTGAGCCTCCCCAATCAACATCAACAAACCCTTCCACATTTCTGTTTTTTGTTTTCCTGATAGCAATCCCTTTCCGGGTGTACCATTCAAGTATTTGAGGATGTGTTAGACAGCCTCGAGGTGTCTCTTAGTGGGAGAGTACATATACTCACAACACTTGCACTGTAAGCAATATCATGCCGTGTGAGTGATAGGCAAATTAGCCTACCTACAAGTCGTTGGTATTGCTCTCGATCAACCGGAGAATCATTGTAACTAATCTTTGACTTCCAGTTCCATTCCAAGGGGGTATTTGATGGTTTACAACCCAACCTATTTCTTTTAGAAGGTCTAGGACATATCCTTTGGGAGATAAATATTCCTTGTTTGCTTTGAGCAATCTCGATTCCAAGGAAATATTGTAGTTTTCCAAGATCCTTGAACTAAACCAAATTTGGGTAATTTTTTGAGTCTGTTTTGCAAGAACACAACTTTCACATTGAAACCCCAAATAACTTTTATTGATAAATAGATTTAGGTACAACCAATGCAAATAATCAAAACTAGGATGACCTAACCGTTGGTGCCATAAACTTTAGACTAGGACATAGTAGAAAGAGAGTGGTGTTTTTGTAGAGGGGATTTATGTGAAGAACCAAGAAAGTAGTAGAGGTCATGGGATTCCTTAGCAATGCCAATCATCTTCCCCGAAGACCGCTCCTGAAATTCACAATGAGTGGGAAAACAAGTTACAACACAATCTTGATCCTTGAGGAGTCTGGTAACCGACAGGAAGTTAAACCGAAGGTTTGGCATACATAAAACTGAATTCAGTTTTAAATCATTGTAAATAATGTTCCCAGTGTCGGTAACACGAGAAACCTTGCCATCAGCAACTATGACAGACAGTAATACAGTTGGTGGTCGGTTTAAAGTTTCTCAATAGTTTTAAGTTTCTTGGCATATGATCAGAACCACCAGTATCCACGATCCATCCTTCAAAAAATTATCCATTTAGGAGGGAAGATAGAATATACTCACTTTGGGGGATCCCATTACCTCCTGGAGCTGTGGAGGAATTGGTTGGCTGCAAAAGAGTTCTTAAAACTTCCATTTGGATGGTATGAAAGGACATGGAGACGACATTTTTCCTGTAGAGGTCTCCGCAACATGGGCAGATGATTGATGCCTTCGAGGGGTCCAGTTTGGAGGCTTACCATGGAGGTCCAGCATTGCTCCTTCAAAAGATATCGTTTCTTGCAGTGTTCACAGCAGACTTTGACATTCTCGGATTTTGCATTTCTTGATCCTTCAGATCTGTAGGTAGCAAGAGCAGATCCGTGCACTTCAGCATTCGTTGGGGTCTGTAGCATCAACCTTTTCCGACTCTCGTCTTGACGTACTTATGCAAATACTTCTCTAAGGGAGGCAGAGGTTTGGTACCGAGAATTCTGCCCCTAACCTCGTCTAGTTCCTTGTTGAGTCCATGGAGGAAATCGAAGATTCCGTCTTTTTCGAGCATTTGGGCATAGTGAGTACTGTCTTGACTGCATGACCAGTTGATGTTGTAAAACACATCCATCTCCTGCCATAATTCTGTTAGCACGTTGTAGTACTCTGTCACGGATATTTCTCCTTGGCTGGTATTATGAAGAGACGATCGAATCTCGAGACCCTGTGAGGTGTTTTCAACATCAGAATACATCTCTTGAACGGCTTCCCAGATTTCGTGGGCGATGTAGTATAGATAGGTTTTTCCAATGTTTGGATTCATCGTATTGACAAAACATGCCATAACGATAGAGTTTTCTGCCTTCCATACTTTGTAACTCTCATCCTTTTTTCTGGAGCCTTCATTTCACCCGTAAGGTACCCAGTTTTTCCTTTCCCTCTAATAACAAGTAGAACACATAGGTACCAGTCACTGAAGTTCAGTCCATTGAGTTTATGTTGTTGGGTAATTTGGAGAGAGGAACTGATTTCTGCTGATGGGGAAGGGGACGGAGTTTAGTCTTGAGATTGATGAGTGGTACAAGATTGGGCAGATCCTGTCATTATCGAGGTTGTTGGTCTATCAAGAAAAGCCGAACAGAATGGTTACCAACCAAGACACAACGAACAAGAATTAACACAAGGACTTTAGCCTGCAAAGATTGCTAGGCTCTGATACCATGAGAAAAACGAGACAGGAAAGGATTTCGAACTATGGTTTCATTCACAGGGATGTACAGAATTTATATTACAAAAATAACAAGGAAACCCCACAAAACGAGAAAATTACATATCTACTTTCTAAATAAAAAAATCCCTTCCAAAACAGTAGGATGATTGATACGGTTTCCTTTCTTAAAAACCCTTCCTTCTTTCCAACAAGTATCACAACGATGCACAAACTCACTGACCACCTTCTTCATTCTTGTCCAATACACTGATAACAACTAGTCTCTGATAAGTCTTAACCTCTCCAGTGTGACCCCTTACATCATAGGCAAGCAATGGTACTCCCACACAAAACTGGTATAATGGATGACGTTTTTAACAACACCATGTGTCCGTTATAAAGCAGCCTATTTTGTTCCAAAGTAAAACCAAACACGGCCTTACCCACTTTTAGATCAGTTACCGCCCCACCGTTGAATTCATCGTCTTCTACCTCCTTTTGGAGCACATCCCACTCTGCCCGGCTGGTATATGCCAATTCAAAATATTTCACCCCAATGGGAGCACATCAGCTGCCCGATCTCCTACCCCTGGCCTATGGCCTATATTGATTGGTGAAGTCATACTCTAACAGCTTAATCAACAGCTTTTGGTACTAGGTGCTCACCAACTGTTGTCCCAAAAAAAACTTGAGACTCTGTTGATCGGTTCAAACGACAGATAAGCACCCCAGGAGGTACATTCTCCACCTTTGTATGGCCAAGACTATTGACATGAGCTCTTTTTCATAGATGGACTTCAATTTTGTTCAGGTATTAAGGGCTTGGCTAGAGTAGGCTAAGCTAAAGTCCGCTGATTTTGCATCAACACATCCCCCGATCCAAACCTCAATGAGTCGGTTTCAACAACAAATTGCTTATTGAAATTAGGCAAGGCAAGAACCGAACTGGACACCATGGCCTCCTTTAGCCTCTCAAATGCCACAGTGGCTTCCAATTAGACAAAACTGACAGCCTTACTTACCTGAAATAAATTATATCAAAACGTTCTAATTGACAGCCTGGGCAAAATTGGACAGCTCTAGACAGCCTGGGCAAGACTTGACAACCCTCTTATTTCACCTATAATACCTATAATTAACTGGGGGTCTATTAAATACGCAGTTAAGCTAGCCATGATTCTGACACTACCTGACTGGAATGTACATTAGTAAGAATCTACAAAGTCCATTCAGGGATTTAACAATAAACATTAATTGTGCCGGGAGCTAGGTGTAGAGAATGATGTAGAGAGAATAAAGACATCAGTGAATGAGATTTTGAACATCAAACATAAGCTAAAAACCAAAACTTTGAAGTTAGGTATTAAACAATATCCAGTATTTCTTGATCGGAGAAGTTAATAATGTAAACAACAAGACACCCATAAGAAAAAACTAATCAACATTTGAAGTCATCATAACAAAGACAAATTTATGATCAAATACTTGTAACTCTAAGGGGCAAACTTACTTGTCATAATACTTGTGTAAGCTCTTTGTTGGAAATTTTAGAGAACGGATGAGAATGTGTGCAAGGGAACTCCATTGCTGCTGAGATAACTCAAATCTGATGTACAAATCCCATAATCTATGACATAAAAAATCCTTTCCAACAAAGGACAACCCTCTTTCAAATATTCTGCAAGGTAAAAGAAGAAAAACTGAAATCCAGTATTTTTCCTAATTCTGTAACGACCCGGATCGCCAAAACATTAGTAGACAAAGACCACAATAATTTAGTTTATTGAGCTACCAATGAGTAAAAAGGATTTTATATTTATCAATTTATCACTTCCATTTGTTAATCAACACTAGTATCCAACTGTAGAGGGTCTCGTTCCATTAATTACATAGTATAAGATAAAACACCTTTTCAAGGATGGTTGAAACAAAAGCAACCAAGGTCCTAAATGGCAAGATGAGGCGTGGCGGCAAGGTCAAGCCTCAAGTCTTAGGAGCCACACCGACGCCATGGTATTTTTCAAAGTATGTTAAGGCAGCAAGTCTGTATATATGCATATATGTGCTACAACTATTAATCAATGATATTGAACAATTTAAGTTCATATAAAAAAGAAAAATAGTATATTGATGTCATATATATAGAGCTTTACATAAAGGGCTAATAACAAAAAGAAGTTCTACCAATGATAATTAGTAAATAAAATAATAATTAGAAAAATGTTCTACCAATAGTAAAAAGTAAAAAAAAAGTTGTCCTACCAATAGTAGAAAGTAAAAAGAAGGGAAAATATAGAATAACTAAAAGTGAAATAACATTTCAAGAAACTTGCGCCATAATGGGCCTTCAAGACACCATGGTGCGCGCCTCACCTTACATAGCCGCTATGAGTGTTAACATAGCATCGGAGACGCATCTTGACCCCATGGCGGGCCTTGACTCCGCCATGGCATGCCTTTTACATCTCTGAAAGCACCTATGTCACAGTAAGTACTATTTATTTTGTTCTTTAAGTAACGAATAACCAAATCCACTAAGTTTGTTGCTTACATTAATTTATAAAATGTCCTATTCTCAATTTGTCAAAACTGGCCGCCTGCATGACAACTACTACATATAATGGCTTCAAGTAAATGGGGCAAGTAAAAAGCTATATGCTAAGAAACACCATATATGGATTTCAAGAATAAAACTTGAAGCATGTAAGAGATGGATTCTCATTTCCATGGTTATAGTAAACCACACTTACCAACATCTGGTCGGCATAATGCATGACATGGAACATCAAGATGTATATGTGATGAAGAGGAGTGAGAAAATGTATATATGTGTGAGAGGATACTAGCATGATTCTATTTCATGACGCATAACATATAACAGAGTAGCCTGCATGAATGGACGCAAAAGGCTTCCAAGCACCAAAGAGCATTTGTTACCAACCTTTATATTTGTGATAAGATTAAGGTGCCATGATTACTAATTCTGTAGACAGCTTGTTAACATAAACCTAACAGCTCCGAAAGATGTGTTGATACATTGGTGATATTTTCACCAGTGTAATAGAAAAGATTTGTATCTTCTGAAATAACCATGAGAAGGCATTTGTTTTTGGTTCAATAACTCTACAGTGGACAGGCTTTAAGCCGGTTTATCCTTACTGCTACTACGACAGCCTGTGAATTATTGTGTACTACAAAAGTTGCATCATCAATATTGAAGAATGTGTATCTGATGCTAGAAATTGCTCTAAGCTCACCAATTATTAAAAAACCATGATGAGTTTAGAAGTTACCGACGAATGTCAGATGGGTCTGCAAAAGCAAGTATACTGAAGCTACAATAGTCAACCCACAATCCAACAGAGTATGTTGCCGATTGCACTGCCTGTTCAAAGATTTCAACAGCCTTCTCCATTGTGCAGAGTCGTGCCTGGTGATCTGCATACTTCTTCCAATATCCATGACACAATGGGAACAGGGAAAGGAATGACTCGTACACTGATGATATTGCTTTTATGTTGTCCTGCATTAAACTTGAAGGTTATATTGCAACAGCAACCTGATAAATTATTTTAGTGTAGTGTTGTGAACCGAATAACAACAGGGGTGAAACAAATACAGTAATGGAAAGGAAAGGCTTGGCCAAATTGTATTCAATTCAACCAAATGAATGGAGAACAACAAAAATGACAACGATTGGAACTCCTAGCAATTCGAGAGGCTAGTCTCTCCTATATGAAAAGGCTAATATTCTAGATTGTCAACACAAAATATCTTTGTTGCTTGGTAGCCTCTAATGTTGAACATTGATTCCTGTGATCCTTCTTCAATTGACCGATCTTCCTTCCCCTCTATCGGCAATATTTTATCTCCCTTTTCTCTTTTCTCCTTCCCTCCCTTGTTTCCAATCACCATCGTGACCACATATTTGTGGAGAGCAGAAATCTGTCCCTCGGCCACCTCCGTGCCATTGGAGGTGAAACCTCCAAATACGAACTCCATTGGTGGGGAGTTGCCTGATTTTGATCGAATGACACGTACCTCTTTTCGAATGGTCTTTGTGACCTCCGTAAGTTTCTGATTGAGAACCTGATTGAATATCGTCACATGATCTCTGAGCTGTTGTTGGAAATCTGAAGCAATGCATTGGATTCCTCTCACCTCTTTCTTTGTGGCTTCAACCCTTTGTGAACCGATATCACTAGCCATGGCTTCATACACAATATGAACACAACTGCAATTCCCTCGCCATGGACTCGGTAGTGCTTTGATACCAATTGATATGCACCGAATAACAGGGTGAAACAAATACAGTAATGAAAAGGAAACGCTTGGCCAAATTGTACTCAATTCAACCAAATGAGTGGAGAACAACGATAATGACAATGATTGGAACTTCTAGCAATTCAAGAGGCTAGCCTCTCCTATTCCGGATTGTTGAAAAAAATATATCTTTGTCGCTTGGTAGCCTCTGATGTTGAAAATTGATCCTTGTGATCCTTCCTCAATTGACCGATCTTCCTTCCCCTCTATCTGCAATTTTTTCTCCCTTTTCTCTTCTCCTTCCCTCCCTAATCTCCAATCGCCAAATGTTATGAACCGATCTAGAGGCCCAACCCATTCCTAAATAATATTCTAGAATAGTTAAAAAGGGCAAATTTGGGTACTTCTTAGAACAATATTAGTATAAATAAGAAGGATGCAGGAAGTGTGAAGCAGGCAGAAATTAGTGAGTACTTTTAGTAGAGTTCTAGCACACTCGAATTGCTAGAGATTCTGGTATTGTCTTTCGTTTTCCGTTCATTTACTTGATTGAATCCAATTCGGCCTAGCACTTCCTCTCTACTAATGTGTTTGCTTCACTTTGTAAAGTCGGTTCTTACCAAATTGGTATAGAGCCGTTCCGAATCCATGTCCATGGAATTGCAATGGTTCTCATGTTGTGTGTTTGAACATGTCCGATGATATGAATCCGCATATGGTTGAATCCATAAAGATAGAGGTGATTGGAATCCAATCCATTGTTTCAGATCTCCAACGATAGCTCCAAGATCATATGACGGTTTTCAATAGATTCTCAATCAAAAACTAACGGAGGTGAAACATAATTCATAAAGAGGTACGGGTTACTCGATCCAAATCTGATTCCTATTGTGCTAACCAACTAAATCCGGGTGGTTCTCCACTATTAGAGATCGAATCGGTTGGTTGCACCTTGAAAGGTGAAGAGGTGGCCCATAGCTAATTTTTTATCACGGCATAATGCCAAACCCGTAATTACGGCAGCAATTGTTAGCAATGGAGAATAAAATTAAGGAGAGAAGAGAGAATGGGGAGAAAGTATTGTCGGTTGAAGAGAAAAGAGAAACTGAAGGGCCAATTGAAGAGAAGAGAGGATATGTAGTAGTTGGAGGGTCGTCTTATTACCTATTCAACTATGAAGCAAATCAACAAAAAGTTCTTCAATCGACAGTCCAAAAATGAAGGAACTAGATTCGTCTCCAAATCCAGACCCGCCGGACGAGAATTGTTCGACGCCTAAGGTTAGTTTTTTGGTGGAATCGTCAACCATACCAAGTTCGACGTTGAGTGGGGAGGGAATTTGGATGGTTACTCGATTCACATTTCATCGAACATAAAAAAACAGTGGATTTTGATCAGGTTCGACCCAATCCATGTATGGGCCATGAGACAGCCCGAGGCAGACCTAGACCATTGGCGTCAAAGTATCGACTTAATTTGGGGTCGACTTCTCACTTCGATGATTCGCATGACGTTGGTATGCCTCTCGATCATCTCGCTGAAATCTCTTTCAACAAATCGATGACTAGATATGAAGATTCGAAGAATGGGAGCACAAAATATGATGAGTCGACACCATACAGATGGAGCGGGGTCGATATAGGCATGAACCAATCAGAGCAATGCGCGTAGGGACGTTAATTAATGATCCTAAGAACTCATATCAATCACCAGGCAAATGCAACTGAAGAAACAAGGGGACTATTGAGGGTCGTGGGAGGACAATGGATCATGGACCAAAGGTTTCCACACTTGATATTGGTATAAACTTGAACCAAATTGAATTACCACTTACTAATCGAATGCTTTTAGAACTCTCCTGACATTTGAGAGGTCAGAAAACTCTCCCAAAGGACTCCCGCCCAAAGTTACCAAACAGAATACCCTCTCTTACGCGCCTAAAACAACATACAAACTCCCCCAGACAAACTAGACAGTGTTCAATTACAAACATGCCCTTATTCTCAATATTTATTCTACCCCATTTATTATCTACTCAGTGAATACCCATATTACTTACCCATCCTAGCATAAGTAAACCGGAATGAAGGTTTACCAATACCCCCTCAAATTCTCTCACCTTGTCCTCAAGGTGACAATATGGAAACTGTTGCAACAGAGCTTCCAACACTTCCCAGGACATTTTGAATTCTGGCAAACCTTCCCACCTAGCCAACACTTCCAATTGCCCTGGATCTCCTTTTGGTAATTGATGAACACCTACAATGTCCTCCACGACAGACCTCACCTCCAATTCTTCAGTTAACTGAGAAGGC